TGATCACCTTTCTCTCATATTTGCCCTCTCTTCTTTTATTCATTTATTTGTTCATTCATTCATTTACATGAACACCCTTAAATAACTCTCCTACCAAAGATCTATGAACACCAACTATTACGTACATTTTCTTTGTATACTTTAGCAACCCCAATAAAAGTCAAAATTATCATAAATATTGTATGATTAAATGAACTATGTATGGTGCATGTCCATTCTGTGTAACAGGAAGCAAGTATTAGAGAAATAAATAGCCTAGATCATTTTTAATGGCTCTCACTTACATAGCAATGAATAAGTCTTAGTTTATGAAATACTATCTTCATTAGTCCATACTTTGTCCTTTGAAATATTATTTATCCCTTTTAAGAAATCATAAAAGAATGCCCATGATTCCTACCCAACAAATAGAAAACTACCAATATCTTACTTCTCCATGTAACCCTCTCTCACCAAGTTAACATCCCAAATTTTATCAATAGGGAAATGCTAATCCAAACAATAGTATATGAAATTAACGGTAGAATGCTATTAAAATAATTAATAAGCACAAATATTTGTGTTGTAATTTCTACCAAATTTCCAAGACTATGTAATCATAAATCTTAGATTGTAAGGCATTGTCTTCTGGAGTCCATGTTTGTCTGTCTTTGATATTATTTATGTATCAGCCAACATATATTTAATAAATCCATAAATGTACATGAACTCACCCCAACTTAAAAAGTATGAAAAAGAAACATAACATATATGATGTAATATATACATTGCATGTTGTTTCTTTTTTTCTTTGCTCACTTGCTATACAGAGATCAACCTAGCAAAATATATATATATATATATATATGCCAAAGTAACATAAGATTAAAAGATTTTACTATAGGCAGATCCTATAGCTCAGTGGGCAGGGCACTGGCCACATACACTGAGGCTGGCAGGTTCAAATATATATATTTGAGACAGAGTTTCACTTTGTTGCCCTCAGTAGAGTGCTGTGGCATCAAAGCATACAGCAACCTCAAACTCATGGGCTCAAACAATTCTTTTGCTTCACCCTCCCAAGCAGCTGGGACTACAGGCACCCATAACACCCACCTATTTTGGGGGGAGAGGGGTCTTGCTCTAGCTCAGGCTGGTCTTAAACTTGTGAGCTCAAGTGATCCGCCCACCTGTGCCTCGCAGAGTGCTGGGACTACAGGTGTCAGCCACCACGCCTGGCCATAATATTTTTTAATTTGGTGCCAGTTATGCCAGAAGAAATTAATCACCCTTGGTTCATGGTAATGAACTGATTTGTGCTTGGTCATCTTTGACTTTATTTATGTGTCCATTCATGTTTAATAATACAATAAACACCCAAGTTCATGATAGCAATACTACTACTCACATTGGTTCATGGCTCATTTCTCACAAAGGTCACACCCAAGATCTTCATGAAGACAGTGTCACTACATTCATTTTGGGGACTTCACTCTGTGGAACACAAAACAGACAATGAAAAATCCTAGATATTCATTAATGGCCATCAGGTGAGAAGCACAGGATTAACCATAATCTTTGGGTCATTACACAGTCTTGCCACTGGCCCAAGCATATCTCTCATTGCATATATTTACACATTTATTAATTTTTATTATTACAATGAATATGCATTAATTAACCACTCTAATCACAAATGAAAATGACTATTACAAGCATTTGTCTCTATGCTTCTTACACATAAAGGAACCACCCAGATAATCTTCCTATTTCCAAATACACAGAAGTAGAGCAATAATAATCTTTGATTCCAGATATAATCATCATTATTTTCTACTCATTCTTTTTAATGTTTTTACTTATTTTTAACACAATAAACACAAATGAACCCAACCCTAATCTAGAACAAAAATATTGATTAGTACATTCAAAACACATCTATAGAGGTAAAAGTCTTATTTTGTTTTATTCCACAATTGTACACAAATTTTGTTAATCTTTAATTCATAAAGCATTATCTTCATGGTCCGTTATTGGCTCTTGTTCATTTTGTCATATATTTTTTTGATTCATCTGATTCAACTGTACAGAAAATACAATTGAAGCCACCATTCAGCCTAAGATCAAAGACTTTTCTATTATACCTATTGATACACTTTCAACAGAGCTTCGATGGCCTAGAATTTGTGTTTTGTTTTTTTAACAATTTTATAGGTAATGAAATACAGTGGATTTTGAAAAAAAAAAAAGACCCAAAAAAGGGGGAAGAAAAAGAAAAATACATCATAGAAAGTTGGTTACCAGGCATTGAGGTTGGGGATGAAGAAAGTGGGGAGATATCCTTCAAAGGGTGCAAATTTTCAGTTATATAGTATAGATAAGTTCTAAAACCTGATGTAGAGTATGGTGACTGCTGGTAAAAATAATGTATTGTACCCTTACAATTCACTAAGAGAGCAAACAGATCTTAAGAATTGTCACATGTTCTTTCTAAGAGTAGAATGTGAACGTTTTAAAGCAATAACTGAGAAAATGACATGAAGGCTGTGTTGACCAGTTTGATGGAAGTATTTCAGATTGCATGTGAAAACCCCACACTGTACCCCAGAAGTGCATTAATGTACATAGTTATCATTCAATAAAAAAAAAAAAAAAAGAATTGTCACTACACATTCAAAAAAAGACAACTGTATGAGGTGATGGCTATGTTAATTAGCTTGATTGAGAATCATTTCACAATGTATATTTATATCAAAACATCACATTATACATCTTAAGTATATATAATATTTGCTAGTCAATTATATCTCTATAAAGCTGTGGGGGGAACACATCATCATCACTGCTCCATGCTTGGCTCTTTACTTTTATTTACACATTCATTCATTTTTAACTGTTCAGTGAACACCCATGAAGGCCAATTTTATTGTCTGCAGTCCCTGCTCTGGCAGAGAAGCCCCAGTGCGCCCATTCTGTGGAACACAAAACCCATTACAAGGGAGAAAATAGCCTATGAGGGCTTTTTTTGTTTCTTAATATCAGGTTACCAGACCTAGGTTAGTCATAATCCCTGGTCCAGAACACATTCTCAGAATTGTACCATTCACAGACTTTATTACATTATTTCTACATTCTTTTATTATTTTTAATATAAAATTAACAGCCACAAACCACTCTGATCTCTCTTTTAATGCCCCTCAGTTGTGGAGAATTAATTGCCCTCCTTGGTTTACGACCCACTCATGTCCTTTTTCCTGGCATGCTTCTCTCTTATTTTACTGATTGTTAAAACCGCCCATGACAGTAACTACTAGGGGTCTCACCTCCATTTATCCCCTTCTTTTTCCCCCACCAATCTTAAATAATCACTCCAGAATCTTATGGATAAATTCGCCTTCACCTTACGCCTATGTAAAATTTTAACACATACATGTACTCTTTACTAAAAATATTATATAAGCCACTGGCTAGGGGTTCCTGCAGGGGTTTTCAACTGACAGTTGAAAATAGGTCAAGGGAAAGAGAGAAACAAAAGCACACCTGCCACGGGCAGGACACAAACTCAAACCCAGAACAAGTGGCAGTCCAACCTGTGCTCACAGTTATGCACAGGTGCTTTCACAATGGCCCCCTCCAAATCCAGCCTCAGCCCCTGACTAGCTGGGTGGCACCAGGAAAGCTAACTAACCACTCTGTGCCTGTTTCTCCATTTGCAAGATAGTCCAAAACTAATCCCCAAGCAGAGGTACTTGTTATCTTCATGCCAATGGCAACCAGATAAACCAGTGCCCCCCCATCCCCCCACTGAATCCACTCCTCACTCAGACCCGTGCTCCCTCTGCAGCGACGCCAGAGCTGTGGTGCTAGACAGACAGACAGACCAGGTTCCACCCCAGCAGGCACTCATGAGCTGTGTAACTGCAGAGACGTGACCTGGCTTCTCTGTCTTGTGCCCCGACTTGTGCGATTTGTAGAATGAGGACAGGAACACCCTCAGGGGTCCAACGTGAGGAAGAACTACCGGCCACTCCTCCACACCGACCAGCCACCCTGTGCACACCCCGCCCTCCCCTGCCCCACTAGTCGAACATTCCCCAGCTTGTTTTAAAAAAAAAAAAAAGAATTATCTTGATGCTCACTCAGGCCAAGCCAAGGGCTTCAGGAAGGATGGGCCTATGGCAAGAAATTGTTCAGATCTGCTTTTTGGGACACAGTGTCAAAGCTTAAACAAATGCTCTGTAAAATAGAAACCCAACTAAGGGATGTATTTTGGAAATGAAAATTTATTTCATGAAATGGGGCTTCTCTCCAGGGAATCTATGCCATGAAATTCTCAATGTTGAAACTGTTTCCTAGAAACCAAAAGAGGCTCGCTATGACAATTTACAGCCCGTTTCCTTCCTACCCTCTCAGACTGGCCTGGGCAAGTTCACAGCACAACATCCTCAGAGCAACCCAGAGACATTAATATAATCCCATAGACTATGTGTACACATATACTGTCATATGGACATAAACATATTCATTTGGGAACTTTCTTAAAGGAGTCATGGAGAGACCAGTAGGCTGCAGTACAACTCCTGCCTTTGCTTTATTACACAGTGGGACCTTGGACAGGGCTCTTCCCCTCACTGAGCCTCAGGTGGCAAAAACCCTACAAGCTTTCCCTCCCTCCCAGGTGGTGTGAAAATGGAAAGCATAACATTTAAGTGTAAGTTCCCGCCCAGCAGCAGGGATCATTAATATTGTACCTCCTATACACAGCACGTAGTGTTCACAGCATGCTTTAGCATACATTATCTTGTTTGATTCTCACAACAGTCCTGTGAATTAGACATAATAATCATAATTAGCCAATATTTATTGAATGCGTACTCTGTTCCAAGCACCATGCTGCCTACTTTGCATATGTCGACACTCCTTAAGTGAAGACAATTCAACAGCATTTCTTCCCCACTCCACCTCCACCCCGCCAAAAAACATTTTGAGCATGCACTTTGTACCAGGCACTGGGTCTGAGTGCTGGAGATACAGCAGTGGACGAAACAGACACATCTCCGTCCTCTAAGAATCAACATCCCTGTGGGTGAAGAAAGAAACATCCCTGTGGGTGAAAGAAACAGACGATATTCAAAATAAGTAAGTATAATATATGGGATAGGAGATGATAATGACAACTACAGAGAAAGGGGATGGAAGTGATAAGAAGGGGAAGATGTTGATATTTGAGTAAAGATATTGTTAGTCTCATTTTGCATGCAAGGAAACTGAATGTCAGAGAAGTAAAGTAACTTTCAAGTGGCCACACAGCAAGGAAGATATTGGACAGGAAACAAACAGGGTCAGTCTGGCTCCAGAATCTGCCACACCTACTTAATCCCAAGGCCTCGTTTATATAGTAATGTCCTTCTGCCAGCCCACAGGGAGAGTGTGAGAATGCATGTGCATGTGGGAGGCAAAGGCATTTCTGAACTCCCCTACAGGCAGCCCCAGGAGCAGAGAAAATCTCCAGGGTGCGCCACTAGTCCTGGGTGAAAAACAAACTGTCCTTCATGGAGAAGGTGCAGTAGCAACATTTCTAAGCAAGGATTTGCAGTTTCTGGGGTCAGCCCATACTTGATTGCAGCTTACATACAACACAACCCAGCAAGTCAGCACCAGTGCTAAACCCATCACCTTCTACTTGCCCATTTGCACCACCCAGGACCACTACATGCAACCACATGCCACCTAAACTCAACTTATAAATGCTCTACCCCAGAAATTAGAAGAGGTCACCCAGTCTTTATGTCCCACAAGTGTGAGAACCAGAATTGTTTTAACTGGTCACCCTCAAAAGATTCAACAAAGAAACATTTCTAAAATGGCCATTTTCTCCACACTAAAAACAGGTAGAAAATGAAGTTTGGAGAGATCGTATATGAGAACTGGGGAACCTTCCCCACTGCTTCTAGAAACTATGAAGTTTAACTATCATCAACTTTAGAAACTTCGATTAAGAGAATCTTAATTATTCATCTTGTTCTTTACCTACTCAGCTTCGTTGCAGCTCCCATTCAACATATGTATGACTCGCTATACTCCAAGGAAATTCCTGGAGGGAGTTTTACTATTCCAGGGCTTAATCTCTCCTTAGATCAATGTTTTTCAGTCTTTTTTATCTTATGGCACACTTGAACGTATAGTTAAAATTGCACAGCACACTTAAATTATGTTGATTTTAAAAAAAGAATATTCTTACTGTGCTTTGAACTTCTTTCAAAAATAATTTTATAAATTATCTTTAAAAATTTTTGCAGCACTCCTAAGATCCTCTCATGGTATACCAGTATGCTGTGGGACAATAGTTGAAAATCACTGCCTTAGATGGATCGTGCCCATTTGCTGTGTTTAATTCTTACCTCCATAACTAGGACTAAAATATTCTGGTTCTTTACTTGTATTTGTTTTTCTATTTTACTTATTCACTCTCCAAAGGCAAACTCATATGTTTCTCTGAGCACCTGTTTAGCTATCTGTAAAATGTAGTTCTTTTTGTTGTTGTTGTTTGTGCGTTTTTTGAGACAGAGTCTCACTTTGTTGCCCTTGGTAAGAGTGTTGTGGCATCATAATTCACAGCAACCTCAAACTCCTGAGCTCTCGTGATTCTCTTGCCTCAGCTTCTGGAGTAACTGGGACTATAGGGACCCCCCACAATATCTGGCTATTTTTAGAGATGGGGTCTCACTCTTGCTCAGGCTGGTCTCAAATTCCTAAACTCAATCAATCCACCTCCCTTAGCCTCCCATAGTGTTAGGATTACAGGCATGGGCCACTAGCCAAAGATATTAAGTGATGTGTCTCAATGAAAATAGTTAGAATAATTATATTTTTAATGATAATTATTTATTGCATGCTTACTATAAGGAAAGCATCATTTTAACCACTTTATATGATTGCCTCATTTAATCTTAGCAAGATATTCTTGGTTTTTTTCATAGTACAACTGAAGAAACTGAGGCACTGAGGTTAAGTAGCTTGTCCAAATTCACAAAACTCGAACAATGGCAGAGCTGTGATTGAAATTTCAGCATTTGGAAAATATGGAACAGGGCTTAGTCCCTGAGTGCATTCTCAAAACATATCTGCTAAATTCAAGCCAGGTCTACAGGGAGGCTTATTGATTTGCTATTTAGCCCTCTGTCTCATCCCCTCCTTCCTTGTTTTGGATGCTTTCAGGCTCTGGAGTCATTTTTACATCTACTTTCATTGGCATTCAGTCAGAACATAAAATATCAGAAATTTATTTGGAATTGGTTAATTGTACTGCAGGATGTCACTGATACCTGTGGCCCTTGTTTGATAATTACAAATAGGATGGGATAGAGAAGATGTTACTTGAGAAATAAACTTAAATTTGATTGGATAAGAAGGTTAGCCCACTGACAGATCAGGAGGGAGAGTCTGATGTGAGTGAACCCCAAAGAGTACAGATTTTTTTCAGAAAAAGTCATAAAGAAGGAAATTAATATGTTGAGGATATGGGTTTGGGAGGAAAGAAGACTAGAGTTCAAATCCTGTGTCTATATTTGCTTCCTATATGATTTGAGGCAAGTCATTTATAATTCCTAAACCTCAGTTTCCTCTTCTCTAAATTAAGGATGGCAACTGCTATCATGGAGAGTGCCTATGATGATTTAGAGGAGATAAAATTATGCCAAGTACTAGCAAAGGGCTGAGCATGCAGTTGGGGCTCAGGGCTTAGTCATCCAGGAGAGCCAGTAGAAAGGGAGCTGCCTGCTATTCCTCAGCACTGTGTGAAAGCAGAGGCTGAGAGCTTCCACTGAGCAGCTCCAGCAACACTGCTGGGGCTTGGTCCCGGTGAGCTGGCAGCCCACCTGTTGTCCCAGAGCCACCTCTGAGACAGTCAGTACGTTGAGAGGCAGAACAGAAGGCAGGAGCTTCCCCAGCAAGCTCCATTCAGAGGAAATCTCTCTTCGCAGATCAAGTAAGCCTTTGATCTTGGTGAGAAACTGACTATTTTCTCTCATTCATCTATCCATCCACCATCTGCACTTTAATTAATTCACCTTCTGACCAGCATTCATCAGCCAGTCAGCCATCACCATCCACTCATGCACCTTGATGCAGGCATTCATCCTTCCATCAGACTTAACATCTGTCCTTCCACCTCTCAATTTTGCAGAAGAATCAGACAAACCTGGGTTGGAATCCTGGGTCCTGCTTTTTAGCCAATCTTAGGCAAGTCCCTAACCTCTCAAAGTCCTTTCATCTGTAAAATAATGGAAAATCAATTGTAGCTGGGCCGAGAATTTAAAGAGAGAGTGGACATATCAGTGCCTAGCCTCAGCAAATAGTCATTAAATGTTTACTCCCTCGGCTTCTGCAATCTGGTTAGGATTTACACAGAGAAAAAAAGCTGCATTTTGCATGACATGTTGAGAAATGCTTTTTAGAAATTATCTGCACTGTTTTAGTGGTGTTCATCCCTCTGTGGCACCCAGGGCTGGGTTGTGGCCAGAGCAGCTTTGGGTAGTGGTCCCTCCTGGACACACAACAAAGAGTGCCATCTAGTGGGTAGGCACTTTGTGGGGTCCCCTATCAGCCCCAGGTCACAACAAACCTGCTATCAGGCAGCTGAGTTATAAGCCAGGAGGTCTAAGCCGACCCAGCCCCCAGACTGTAGGCTGCCCTTATTGGGATGTAGTGCACGTACTATCTTAATCACTCAGGGGGGCCTGCACTGCCAGGAGCCTTTTGTTTTGTGGACGACAGCCAGCTCTGTTTTGCCCAACTCCCCCTTAGAGGTTTCCGGGAAAAAGAAAAATTCGACCAGCTACTGTTGCCTGAATGACTATGATGTATGATGACATGGGGCTAGGGGCTTCATGGGCTAATGCTCTAACCCTCTCAGTGACCCTAGGAGAGACCCAGAACTTGCCCCATTTTCTATGAAAACACTAAGGTTTACTGAGGTTGGGTTGCTCATGTAAGGTCAGGGCAGATAATCAAACTACTGAATTTGTAGTTGTGCTTACCTTTGAGAATCCCAGTGGCCCTTGAAAGTGCAAGAGATAGTTTGAACACTGACTTGAACAAGCCAACTGTAAAAGAAATTTATGAGTCAATCAGGGATATTTGAATGCTAAATGAATGTTGGATGACATTAAGGAAATGCTGCTAATTTTTTAACTGTGATAATAGTGTTGTGGTTATATTTTTAAGAAAGAAAAGCTTCTTTTATAAAGATACAAAACTAAAAAATGCTCAAGGGGAAACAATATGGTGTTGGGAATTTGCTTCAAAATAGCTCCCGGGGTAGAGAATTGGGGAGTGGTAGTAGAGGGACAGTTTGGGTTTTAGGCTAAACAAGTGAGGACAGGATTTGATGATGATTGTATCTGGGTGATGGCAATATGAAAACTGTATAAACTGTGGTAAAAGAATGTACTATTTTTCTCTACTTTTGTGTTGTTTGAAATTTTCCTGTAAAGAAAGATTTTTTAAATCAACAAGTAAAAATAAACTACATGAGAAGGGGATGCAGGGAGCCATTTGAAAGAGCAGAGGTCTGGGCCACAAGCTGAATCTCCTCTGAGAACATGAGGGTCCATCCAGGGGGAACAAATTATTTAAAATTGGGTGGACTGGGGGGAATGTGTAGGGTATGGGGAGCTGCAAAACCAGACACCCGCCAGCGGTCCCTAACCCCTCCTTGTCCCCCCAGGCTCTCTGGCACCTATCTCCCAGTCCCTTTCTCAGCTCTGAAAAGGCCTGAGGACCTCTGTCTTTAGGGCAGGGTCGGCCACCTGAGGAGTCCTTCCTGTAGCCCTCCTTGTGGCGTGGTTCCTGAGACAACTCTGTCTTTGCTTAGATTGAAGGAAGACCCTAGAGGGGCCCGCTCAGTCAAGCTGAGAAGAATTCAGCTGTCTAGCTTTCAAACATTTTTTTAAATCTGTTTTTTTTTTCTTTTTGAAGGACAAGAATTGATGCTTTTATCCAAAAACTGTGTTGCCAAGCTGCCCAGGCTGTCCTCTTTCTCTCTCTCCCATATCTCTACCGACCTCTTTTCTGCGCAGCACAGTGCTGCAAACGGGACTCCGGGCTCAGCTGAGCCCAGGTCCACATCTATCTTCCTTGCTCCCCTGGATCACCACATCCAGGTCCGGCTACCTCCTCCTACTTTTGTAGCTACCTCGGCCACGGGCCACTTTTCTCTCGGTCCTCCTACAGCGGCCACAGCCTGCGGACCCTCAGCTTCCTGGGCACCCGGCCACTGCGCACCGCCTGCAAGGGCTCCCTCCCTCCCTTTCAGTCCCCACTTTGGAAAGCCAGCGCCGGACAGCTCCTGCAGCCTGCTGCATTGCAGCGCAGCGTCTGTCGGGAGGGGCTTACCCTGTAGCCCCTTGCCCCACCATCGTCCTGCCCCGCAGCCCCTAGCCGGGCTTGGCTGGTGGGCCGATACCCCCACCGCACGCATCTGCCGCTTTTCTGCCGCTTTTCGTAATTAAAAGCGCTGCTACAAAAGGAAAAGTGCCAGTCCCTGTTGATTGTCCCCCTCCTCACTTTACGGGCTCAAAAATGTAGCCCAGGCAGCCCCCTTGTGGCACTTGGGGGCGCCACAGACTCTTGGCTGGTGTCTGAAGAATTCAGACTGTGTGATTCCACCGCACCGTGAGTTGGCACAAATCTTCAGTGGCCCAAGTCCTACCCATTGCAGAACTCTGCTCAGCTGTCTCTCTGGGTGGGGGGCACCTCTTCCCTCCCCTCTCCCCATCCATAGCTCTCTTTCCTCCTTCCCAGAAAAGAACAGGAACAGCATCTCTCCTGTTGAATAGTGCTCTGACAAGCAGACAGGTGTCGGGCAACAGTGATAGTGGTGGTCGGAGACAAGGTGAGGTGGGTCATGAGAACAGGGACTTTTCTTGCCATGACGTTTGGTTTCCATCCGTGGCTCACAGACAGGAAACTGAGGTGCACCAAGGCTCACCATCCCTCTCTGTATCAGAGCAAAGGCTGGGGACCCTCTCCCAGGAAGAGTACAGCTTGGGGAATTTCCCTGAGTGAAGGGGCTACCCTGAAAATGTGTCACCTCTTTCCCCTCCCAGTTGTCAAGCCCCAGCCCCTCTAGATCTGGTTCTCCCCACCCAGAAGCCCTGGAGGGCCCCTGGATGTTCTCCATCCTCTCTAACTCACTGTCCACACAAACAAACCCCAGCCCCCTCCTGTCTCTCTCTGCAATCTGCTTGCAGACAGGCAGAGCCCTCTCCACATCAGGTTAATAATGCCATTTTCATAAGTCTTTGCCCATAGGTGCTACCACCTAATTTTGAATCTGCCCTTCAAACGGATTGGGCCACAGAGGAGCTAGGATCTCAAGCACCGCTGGGAGGTGCTTATAACTAATCAATCCATCCCCTGCCCACCCACACCCCCCCAGCACTCGGCACAGCCTCGCTGAGCAGTCTTCAGCAGCAGGGTGTGGTGGGGAGCCTCGGAGAGCCTGGGGTTCCATCCCGGCCCAACCTCACACCAGCTGAGAAACGGTGAGTGTGGGACTTCTCCTTCCTGTGCCTCAGTTTCCTCATCAATCAAATGGGGATCATGAGACTAGTGCTCAGGGTTATTGCTCCGGTGAGTCCTATGCAGGCAGCCCAGCTTAGGACTTGGCTTTCAGATGGGGCTCCCTAAATTTCAAGTGTCTTTGTGCCCCCCATCACCTTTATGTATGGTGACCTATTCTCTGTTTGTTTCCCCCACCAGACTGACTAAGCCTTGAGGACAAGAAGCCAACCAGCATCCCTTCATCCCCAGCCTCACACTTGAGACTGGGCCCAGGGAAGGTAGGTGCACTGCAGTGGTTTGGGAAATGAGTGCATGGGTGGATGTCTTTATCCGACAGTCTATGGGATGCCTGGACCCCACTGGGTTTCTTTCCCAGACCCCTCCCTGTCTAAGCTGGCCCTTCAAGGAAACGGCAGGGAAAAAAATGTTCCTTCATGCCTTTATGCTGTAATCCTCATGCTGTTATGATATACAATGCAAATTCTTATTCTATTAAATGCAGATGTGGGCTCTGCATGTCATTTCTGCCGCCTCCTGCATCTACTGTGAGTTCCCCAGTCCAGGGGCTGCCTCAGGCTGACTTGATTTGTGTGATTAAGGCGGCAGAAGGGACTCTGGCAGGAGAGGTTCCCGTTTGTATTCGGAGCAGGGTCTTAAAAGGCCAGACTGTTTTCTCTCGAGACACTTGTTACATTCATCCCTCCCTCCCTAAGTCCCACTGTCTCCTCCACAAGCATTTATGAAGTATCTGATGTGTGCTAGGCTACTCTTATCTCATTTAGTCCTCACTTCAAGCCAGTGACAGGGAAACTCTCATCTTCATTTCACAGGGGAAAAGCTTAGACTCAGAAAAGTAAAGGGAATTGCCGTGGTCTCACAGCTACAGACTAGGAGTCAAACTAGTCTACGTAGCTCGGGAGCCCCCTGGCCCACAGCCCTGCTGTGGCTATCTGCTGCTCCTACTGCTGTGGGGTTGGTCAGGGCTGGCAGAGAGGCCAGCAGCTCCTGCAGAAAAAGCAGAGGGGTCGCATAGAGAGCATTTTCCCTGGCAACTGAAAAAGTCGCTATTTAAAAAAAGAGAAGGCTTAGAAACTGTTTAGCAGATAGACACAGAACAGCTGGCCTGGAGGGGAACAGTGCACCCTCCCCTGGACTTTTGGCAGAACAACAAAGCAAAGGGCTCTATCCCAGGTACAAAGGATAGGTATAGATGGTCTCTAAGCCAGTTCCCATGGGAGTTTTAGACTTTAGCATAGAAAATAGAGGACTGAAAAGAAAATGAGCTTGTGGCCTACAAAGATCTGAAGGCAGAGGGGGTAAAGGGACTGCCATGGAATGGCAGAGGCAGATGCAGAAGGCAAGTGAGGGCTCAGAAAATCAGCTCAGTGTGTGAATCTCAAGGAGGATGCTTGGAGGGAGAGGGAGCTCCTTGTCACAGAAGGCATCCAAGCAGAGAGAGGTAGGCCAGTACTTGGCTGAGGAGGCAGCAGCACAACTCCCTGCCCAGGCTGAGAGCCCACATTTCTAGGCCTTTGAGAAGTTCCTATAGTGCTAAGTCCCGTGCAAGCAAGTGGGACTGGCCATAAATGGTCAAGGCCAGGGTCAGTGCAAGGATACAAAGGTTTCCCCAGGTAGTTTGACCTCGGTGAAATGGCAAAGGCACAGAGATGGTTGGCGGAGCACCGCTATCATGGTAAGACATTAAGGAAAGGAGCAGAGAAAGGGCATGAGTGCTGGGGGCCCGCAGGAGAAAGTGGGGGTTATCCTACAGCCAACTCCCCTCTCAGAGGCCCAAAAATCTAGTGTGGCCTAGTGTCCACCCTAGCTCCCAGGCCCAGAAAGGCTGACTGGTGTCCTCTCTGGGGCAACAGTCTAACAAAGTGGTAGAAATAAAAGTCAAGGAACCAACCAGACATGGGAAAAGCAGGGCCCTGTTTTGGAGGCTGGGCAGCAGCCATTGGATTCATCCAGCTGCTGGCCTGTGATTTGTATGCTCTAGGTATTTGTGAAGTCCTCCTTATCCAGAGATGAGGCTGAGGGGCCTGTATAATGATGAATACAGCCATACTTGAGGCAGGTGCTGCCTCTCCTGGCCCATTGATGGGGGTTCAGTTCCCAGGTACTATGGGTGGACACGGCCTTTATCAAGGGCCCTCTGCTAGACAAGCCTCTGTTCCATAGTTCCTAAAGGAGTTTTTTTTGTTTGTTTGTTTGTTTGTTTTTTGTCTCAGAGCAGGCACTCATCATGTGTGTGTGAATGCATGCATGTGCACATGTGTACACATGAACAGGATGGCTGCAAGGCCAGCTGGGGTTCCTGGTAATCCTTAGGGGCAAAAACACACCTATATGGAGCAGAAGAATTTCTGGAAAGGCAGTCATTCTTTGGGAATGAGCCCTGGTCACTGCAGCTTAATTACCCTGCTCCTGACAAGGCCATCTGTCAGTCTGGGGTCGCCACAGCTGCTCCGACCCGCCGTGCGGGGGCAGCATCGTGTTGTAGGTGGAGAGCCCAGGCTGGCTTGTTGTCTCCCAGGCTGACAGACAGACAGACTGCACTGGCTATGTGATTAGTCACTGAGAGCCTTTTGGGGAAAACTGTTTGCTTTCTCAGAGGCTTGGGTTTTGCTGGGTATTGTTGTTGCTGTTGTTTTAACTGGTTAAAGGATTGATTTGAAACTGTTCATATGAAAATGTTTGGTAAAGTGACATTTACATGCATGTTACTCTCCCCACAGCATTTCTTGAAGGGGAAGGGGGAGCAATGCAGGATGCAAAACAAGAAGGCATCTGCGTCTGAGATTTTATGAATAAAAATTTCTTATTGAGGGTAGCTGGTGGCACAGAAGGGGCTCTGAAGAGCTCTGGTGCAGATGTGAAGGGGGCACTCTCCCATTCCCACTAATATTTCCTTTGGCTTCTGGCACAAATAGAGCCCACTCCTTTGCCCATGCCCAAGGAAGTTGGCAGGGGGGCGATTCAGCATCAAGCACAGGGTTAAATTGCAGAGACCTGGGCAGCTTTACAAATAGCTGCAGAGAAATATCTCTGGTGCAAGACATGTGCCTGACCAGGCATATGCGCCAAAGTAAATAAACCAAAAATTTAGGAGAGAGGAGCCTTTGTGCACAACAGCCAAAGAGGTTCACTTTTGTGTAAAAGGCAACATGCAAGTCATACTTTCACTAGGTAAGACTGTGCCGACACACAAAAAGCTCATTTAGATTGGGCCCAGCCCAGGGAGAATTTTTTGTGAAATTTAGGAGAAGTCAGGCTTAGCCAGAAGTTTTTCCAGGAATTATTAACCTCTGGAGACTGTAACCACTGTTCCTTCCGAGCCACCTTTGCCAAAGCCTATAAAATATGAGCCTAAAAAATCTGCCTGAAGAGTAGTCTGACTTTTTATATATATTTATATAAAAATAAAATAAACTCTCACCAAACTTTTCAGGAGAACCCAATGAATACGGGCAAGGACAGCCCATTCCCCAACCCTTAGGTGTTGTAGAAGGAACATGTTTCCCCTGGGGGTGGGGGGGACGAGTGAGATGGGCAGGGGAGCCCAGCATTGTCAGCTTGTGTCGCCCACACCCCTCACATTCTCTCTGGCTGTTTTGTTTTCCTCTGTTTGGTCTCCCTGAAAAGGAGCCGCTGTCTGTCTCAGAGAGGGGGTCTTAAGCTTTTCATGGGGATGAGATGGGAACGCTACAGATTTTTGCTGTGTTCTATGTTCTGGCTACTGTGCTGGCTGATTTATTTGTGTTATTTTCTCATTGAGATCTCAATAGCCCTATGTGAGAGAGATTATGATTCTTTTTTTTTTTTTTTAATATCAGGAAACCAAGGCACAGAAATACTTGGGGATTTGCCAAGGACACACAGCTCTATCCCTGTCCTGTATGTGTCTGGTTTCTTGCAATGCCTCCTTCTCTATCCCCCGTGGGGTGGAGTGTGGGGGACTAAGACCCCAAACAGTGCTAGTGACTCCTATTCCTCCTAATAAGCAAATAGTCTTCTGCTCCCAAGGGGGATTCTTACTTGGTCTTGGAGACCCTCTCCCTCATAGCCTATGCTCTTTCTAGAACGTGACTCTGTCTCAAGGTAGAAGCACCCATTCTGAACCCCGTCTCCTCCCCAGAGCCCCCCCACATCACTTCAGCCATCACAAGCCTTGTCCTCCCTCTCCTGTCCTGGGACCAAACGTGACTGCCTCAGGCAAGGAGTGAGCCATAAAAGACATACTTAGCCATTTCCAGGCTGTAATTATGTCCAAAATTTATCACGAAAACTCCGTCACTGTGACCCTGAGAGCACTTTGGGACAGTGGTAGGGGGTATTAGCCAGGCCCCACCCAGGTAAGTGTTTGTGGTTTCACGGCACTTTGCAGACTCACCCAGTGCCACAGAGCAGACAGCACAACCCTCAGACACCATCCATCAGTGCAGGAAATAACACAAAGTGGTTTTCAGATCCAGGCTGCACAGAGAAGCCGGGGGCTTCTGGAAAGGGACAAAGGAAAGGCGGCAATTAACATTCGGCCAGTTTTGTCAATTCTACAAAAGTACAAAACATTCTCTTACTAGAAAAAAATAGTCAATGAGCATCACAATTCCAGGGACAAGGCTTTAGGGGACTTTTGAATAAGGTACATGTAGGGGGAGGAGGGGGCACATATATGTAACTTTGCGTTCTTGATCAGGAATATTTTAAGCCTGCCTTTGAAGGCTGAAAGGAAGCTGCCAAAAAGGCACAGCCAGGCACCAAAGTATAAAAAGCAGGGAGCCCCTGCCGAGAGAAGCAGGTAGCTTTGCTGTGGGGGAGAAGAGGGAGACACAGAAGGTTGGTGAATTACATGCCAGGCTAAAGGATTTTTTTTTTTTTGACCATGTCCCCGAAGCTTCAAGAAGTAGATGAAGGATTTTAAGTAAGACAGCAACAAGGTCAAAATGCCATTTTAGAAAGATCACTCAATGAAAATAAACTTTTGCAAACCATTTAGCCCACTCTCCCACCTCTATGAAGCTTGGGAAGACAAATAGGTACGTGTTTACAGATTTAGCTGTAAGAATGCTCACTGCCTTGTCATTAGGAGTAGTAAGAAACAGAAACAGCTTAGATGTTTTTTTAATTGGGCATTTGCTAAGCAAAATCATATTTATTAAAACCTCTATTTGTGATATAAAACCACTTTGATTTTATGTGTTCATTGTTATTTATTTTTTTAAATAATATAATGAGCACTCATAAACTTATGACCCTCCCTGACAACTAGGATGTTGACCAAAGCTCATATCTGCACACAGTCTCCCTCCTCAGAGCACTTTCAGCTGGGATTTTTAACAACAGAGGAGGGTACAATCAACACTGGGGCATACATACCCCGGAATATTAAATAGCTCTTAAAAAGAATGAAACAGCCAAGACCTATTGTCTTTTAATGGACCTCAGTATTTTGTGCAGAACTGGATTAATCATGATCCTTTGTTCATAAACACTGTCTCATCATTGGTCCAGAAATGTTCCTTTTATTTTGATAATTTATGCACTCATATATTCATTTGTAATAATGTCATAAACACTCATGCGCCCACTCCCCAAAACCAGATCTCAGCAATTACTTACACCTGCCTTCACTATGCGCCTCCCGCAGGGTAGAGGACCTGGGGCTTTCATGATGCACCGAAGTGGTTAAATAAATGCCGGGGTGTGCAGATTACAGGATACTGAAGTGTTGTTACAAGGAATGGCGTTGATCTTTATTATTTCTAAGCAGATTCTTAAAGGAAGAAAAACAAGCTGCAAAAAAGGAAATGTACACTGTGGTATAGTTTATATAAAAAGTAAACAAAGTAATATAATATTTTAGAGATATATTTACATACATATGCAAATGCACAGAAAAAAGGTACTGAGATCCACATACCTGAATATTATAACTGCAGTTAATTTGGGGAGTGAGGGGAGGCTGAGGTTGACGGAAGGGTTAATGATGGCTTTAGCTTTATCTGCAACATTTTTATTAATGACTACGTTAATTATCAATGCATTTCTTGCATAATTAAAATAAACATTTTACATGGGATTTTGTTTATTTGCTTATGAGGTTTTGTTTTGTTTTTGTTTTAAAAATTCCATGAAAAAAGCATGTTAGCTGATGCTTTGAGAGTGGGCACATATGCCTAAAGCAAGCTCTGCAGACACAGGGGCTTTATTTTACGGCAAAGATCTTTTTTAAAAATATTTATATATTATATGCTGTAAAGCAGAAGCCCTGAGTCTCCAAGCTGCCTATCAGTGACATCAGGCCAGCAGGTGTGTGCCTGAAGCCGTGATTTTACCACCCACAGCCCCAAATCCCTCCCAAGCCATCTAGTCGGTATCTGCAATGCACCAATGGCGGGGGGGGGGGGGTTTGCGGTGCTTTCCTTTTTGGTCTTTAAGAGGACCTGAAAGCTAATGCCCTGGCCCATGTTCTTAAGGATTAGCCGAATGGTATGAGAACTCTGGGGGAATGTGACATGGGATAGGTCCGGCCAAAGGAGACACAGGGCTCCAGAGAGCAGCCAGAGGCCCTGGCAGCTTGCGTACATGGACAGCCGAGCTGGCTTGCCGGCAAAGAGCCGGGGCCTTGCTGCATCCCCTGACAGCTTGATCCCCTGCAATACACACAATTGCTGTACTTCCTCCCCAATTCTAATCCAGAGGACCTGTGGCTAAATAGCACTGGTATTTTTAAACTGCAAACTCCATGAGAACGGGAAGGAACCTTGCTGGTCTTTGCCCTTTCCTAGCCCACCCCCATGTCCAGGTCAGCACACTGCAGCATGACTCCTCAACAAAAGCCCCTCCCTCCCCGAGATGCCCTAACTCCTGCTTGCACATAAAGCTTCAGGCCCCCGGCAGCTGTCGCAGGCTGTCAGAATCCCCGAGCAGGAACAGAGCTAAGCATGTGATGAGGACATGATGATCACACTGCTATCTACAGAGAAAAGACACCAAGGCTCAGTCAGACACTCCAAAAACACAAAACTAAAACCCCAACTTTAAACCCCAACGGGTCTGCACCCTCCTCCTGCTCTGTCCTGCCTCCATCTGCACAGGCCATTAACTGGTTAACTACTTAACCGCCTCTCCTCTCACTGAGCTAAGGCAGATGAGGCCGTCTTTTCCCTCTGCCAGGAAGAGACCTATTTTCAACCATGACTTTGTGCGGAAGAAATGTGAGACAGGTTGACCAGTCCTCAGCCGCGTGCCCAGCTTTTAATCGCCTTTCCCGCACGCGAGGCTCTGCTGTTTATTACATAGCGCTTTATTTTGGACTGGGTTTTGGTCCTTGTGAATGTGACTGCTATAGTTTTGCAAATATAGAATATTTTTATGCTACAGAAAAATAAAATGGAGTACTCAGACTGAGGTTAGCTCCAAGTTGGGTAACTCCACATGGAAATATATACTCCTCTCCTATGAAAGCCTGCATAAATCCAGGCAATGCCAACAAAAGAAATGTATTAACAATTTCCTCAAAAAATGCTATCCCAGCTCAGCACCGTAGCACAGTGGTTACAGCACCAGCCATATACACCAAGGGTGGCGGGTTCAAACCTGGCCCGGACCAGCTAAAAATCAATGACAACAGCAACAGAAAATCACCAGGCATTGTGGTGGGCTCTCGTAATCCCAGCTTGCTATTTGGGAGACTGAAGCAAGAGAATTGCTTAAGCCCAAGAGTCTGAGGTTGCTGTGAGCTGTGACACCACAGCACTCTACTGAGGGTGACAAAATGAGACCCTATCTCCAAAAAAAAAATAAAAATGCCCTCTGGATCTGAAAATCTTTCCTCTGGATTCTAAACAATGTGAAGAGCTTTCAAAAGGATGGTTGAGAGACAGAAGCAATTAAAATGAGAGCCATTTTTACATATGCAGAGCACCCATCATGTGTCAGTATTTTATATTTTATTTCATTTAAGACATCAAGGCAACCCTTGAAAAATGCTGTCCCCATCCACAGAAAAGGGGGTGATTTGCAGTCATGTATACATCTCCTCCAAGGACAGCCTGCCCCTTCTACCCCTCAAGTACACACCCCATGATAGATTTTAATACCTCCATTGGGTACATTTAGCAAACAGATAAGAATCACAGTATTATTCCAGATTTTAAAATTATATTACCATATTAAGCTTGTATAACCACCACCCCTCCTCTAGGGCTCTACCTTCCAAAAGGGGCTATCATGTATAAGAGAAAACGGTATACCAACCTGGCTGGGACCCAAGTGAATCTGGGTGGCTGATCTTCCTCAAGGTCAGCCTATGAAGGCCCCTCATCCCTCTGTCCCATGTGCCATCCTGGGGGGAACAGGGCTGGGCCATGCCCTGGCCACAGGAACCCAAAGACTCACTGCCCATCCAGGGGGCAGTGAGCCTCAGCTGCAGAAAGAAGGGCTCGAGTTAGTTCCATTCTAAGGAATCTACAAATTTGTAAATTGTTTAAATTTATATATTAAAACCAAAAATACAATTTTTCAGACCTTTTGATTTGATCCTGGGCCAGGCATCTGCCTCCTTCCTGGAAGAAAGGTGCCATCTCTCTTCTACATTACCTGGGAGAAGATGAGAAACCACTCAATGGGTTTAATGGCCAGTGTGTATTTTGCCTCCCTCAGCCCTTGACCTAGGCCTCCCTCTGCCAGCAGCCCTACTGTGTGCTGAGGGAAGATAGGATAGAGGAATCACAAGTGCAGACTGACACAAGGACACAGAGCAAGGGCCCAGGATAAGGCAGGGATGGCCAGCCTGATGTGATGCCACAGAATTGTTGTTAGAAGCAGTGGAGTCAAGGGATGGAGGTTCACGGAGATAAGACAGTTATTTTCCTCAGGGTCCAACAAAGGCTGAGCTTGAGATTCACATCAACTCACATTCATTTTCTGGGGAGCAAAATGGGAGTCACCTAGAACAGGGGGCCAACCAAGAGCTCGGAAGCAGGGATCTAGAGGAAAGGCGGCCACAAGCCTCTGAGCAGGGGTCATTAAGGTTGGTGCACCAGCTGAGGCCAGCAGCACATTAGGCCTTGCTCAGTCCCAGGTATCAAAGTGAGCTTGACATAATTAAAAGGTTGTTGTAAGGATTGAAAGAATTAAAACATGTAAACTGCTCAAAAGAGCTCCTAACACATAGAAAGTATTCAAGCCAGATCACAGAAGTATTCATAGGTAACAGCAACATGGAAAACAAAAGCTCACAGCAGTGGCAGGTGAGCGAAGGCCAGAAGACTGTGTGCATGATGTGATTATTCCTATGGAAAAAAAATGTAACCATGATTAAAGAAATAAATGTATTCAATAACTTTTTAGAAAGAAGCAAGGTTGCAGTCTAACGAGAAGGAAGAGATCTACTTGGACACTTTCAGCCAAGGTAAGACTGGGGTAGGGGGTCCCATGCTGGCTTCACCTTGGGGGCATCTGGTAGGTAGGGCCTGGTGTCTGGCAGGGAGGGACAGGGGCTCAGCAAGAAAGGTTAAAGAACTAGTTTGTCTGTAAGAACATGACGTGGAGTGGGGGTACTCAATGCCTGTATCAGAATACTTGGGCAGCTATAATTAGTAGGGCCTGGGCCACTGTCTTTTATCCCTTCCTTGACACCAAATAAGCCAAAAAGAGTTGGGAATGACAGCATGAGCCTTTTAGGGAGATGGAGGCAAACATGGAGGCCCCCACTCTTGTGGGCTGGCTGCCTGTCCAGCTAATCACATCAACACCATGGAATGAAGGTCCCTCCAAAACCCCAAATGGCAACTGCCCACCCTACCCTGGACAGTAGCCCCTGCCTTCCCTGGGTCTACCAGGGGAGGGAAGACAAATCTGGCTTAGAACCCTACCTCTGCCTCTCCCCTCCTGTGGGGCCTTGTGTCTGCACCAAACCCTGGAAATCGCAGTTTCACTCTGTAAAACAGGGGAACATTCCTCATCTCATGAGGAGTAAAGTCAGTTTTAGGGATGAGTGGCTAGAATTATACCTGACACAGAGGAAGCACTCAGAAGATGACAATTTTAATAAAATAAATTCTAATTGCCCCTGTCTGGGCCATGTGCACACCCACCCTTTCTCTAGTTCCAGTCATCAGTGGCGCTTCCTCTTGGGGAGGTCCAGTGGCCTGGGTCCACATGCTGTTGCCACTGACAATTACAGCCCAAGAGCAGCAGCTTCACCCTTCTAGACTCCAGTTAACTCACTTTCAAAGCAGGGCACTGTCCCCGCACAGGGTTAATGGGAAAATTAAAGTTGACACCATGCATGAAATGCTGTCTGGATCTTGACCATTACAATTATAGTGGGTGTTCTAGAAGTAATAATCACATTCCTAATGACAAGAACAATCCCTTACTTGTTCATAGAATTTTATAGTTGACAAAGGGCTTGATGCACCATTTCTCCTGAGAAGGAAGTGCTGTTTCTATCCTGTAAGTGAGGAAACTGAGGCTCTGGGGGGTCAGCCAGCCTCTGCCTCCCACTACCCCCCTCACTCTACTGGCCCCCAGGCATAATCCTCCTCATTTGCCTTGAAGCCCCCACCTTCCTACTCCAAGATGGACTCAGTCCTAGGCCGAAAGACCCCAGGGCTTGTCCATGCAGCAGCAGAACTGCAGGCAAGAGCAGGGAGCCCCCTAGAGACAGGGATGGATTCCCCACTGAGACTCCTCTCAGCCCAGACTGTAAAATCAAGACAAACACACACAGAAGAACTCATGGACTCTGGCTTT